TTTATAAAAGTACTTTCATAAAAGTTTTTTGTAAAAGTGATTTCGTGTAAAAGTGCTTTCATAAAAGTATTTTTTGTAAAAGTGCTTTTATAAAACTACTTCTATAAAAGTGATTTCATAAAAGTACTTTTGTAAAAGTATTTTTATAAAAGTACTTTCGGAAAAATACTTTTCATAAAAGTGCTTAAAAGCAATTTTATAAAAGTGCTGTTATAAAAATGTTTTCGTAAAAGTACTTTCATAAAAGTGATTTTATGCTATTTGCAGCTTTGATTGATTTCAAATTGGACAAGGCTTTGGCCTCATGATCAGATTATTGGAAATTTGGTTCAAGTCTAATTCAAACCAATAAGAATATGGACCAATTTCTTTTGGACTGACCCAATCCAATAATTACAATAAACCGTCCAAATCCGATTTAATAAGGTTTTGATCGGATTGGATCCAAACCAAAATCAGTCGATTGACACCCTTAACTGAGGGCATACATTGTTCAACATAAGGGGATTTATTCTAAAGTTTCAATAAGAATGCTAGAGGTTGTTCTGGGCCATAGAAGGAGCAATGTTCAAAGGACTATTGCTGAGTGTGATATACTCAAGTTGTAGGATGAAAAAGGACTAATAAAAAAGAAGGATTATGGGGAAGGATAAAAATAATAGCAATGGGAAGTGTTAAAAGAACATGCCTTTGAAGGGTTAAAAGAACCAAAGATTGGTTCACTTCACAAAGATTTTTTCTAGTTTAAGAGCAGGCCTTTGTGAGGCAATTCACTAGTGTTTCCTCTTTGACTGATTAGACAAGAGCTGTAAGTAAGTACTGAGTGCATTAAAGGGTTATGAGTGTCAAGGTATTAACTTGATTTAGAAACCCTTAAATCGTGTTATGTCATTGATAGATTCTTAGATAAATTCTGAGGATGTAGTAGGGGGTGTTGGATCTCAAAGGATGAAGTTCATAATATGACTTGTTGCCGATGTCTCAGAAGCATCAGAAAAACATCAGAATTTAGCATACATGAATGAATGAATCTGTATACTTCAAGTAATTCAGATCTCTTACAAGTAACAACTCTGTTCATATAGAATCCAGTCTCACATGGGAATATCTCCCATCATGTATGTTAAATTCAGGGGGAGTTGTTCCCAATATGTGGCTGTAGCAATACAGGTAAGTCTCTTGCTTGAAAAAAAAAAGAGTTGAATAGATTTTAGTTCACAATAAAAATATATATCATTAATATGACTTGTAATTAAGGGAATACAAATTAGAAAAATTGATAAATTTCAAATGAATTCTAGAAAAGTTTTTTACAAACTTTCTCAACCCATATCTGTATTTGATAAATTTCAAATCAATTCCGAAAAAGTTCTTACAAAATTTCTCAACCTTATTTCATAAGCAAATAATTCTATAACTGGGTATTTAAAGAAATAATTTTTAGAAATAAATTCTATACTTCATAAGCAAAAAACTTGGTATTTTAAGACAAATATGTGTGTTTCATTGTGGTCACAGTCACATAAACTGTGGCCATTTTTTGTAGAAGAAGAAGAAGAAGCTTTGAGGTATGGGAAGAGAAATATGCTTTGAGGCCCATCTTTGTCTCGAAGAAGAAGAAGAATATACCTTTGATGCTTGTTCATTGATGGTTAGCGTTTGGCATGCGGGTGCTATTTCAACCCTAAAAAATTGAATAATACTATGAGAACGAAGAAGATTGGTCGAAAGAAAAGGAGGGACGACCATGAATATACCTAGAGCAGTCGTTTTGAGAAGGTAGGCGACGATAGTCTTCCGATGCTATCTCTAAGAATGCAGACAATGATGGTGTTTAGAATGCAGGCGGCGATAGAATGCAGAAATGAGATAATGGGCAAATTGCGGCATTTCAAAATTTGTTAAGGGGTATTTTTTACTTTATGGTATCTCTGAAACGTGTCTGAACGCGTTAAGAGAATGGGCCACACGCTTATGATTTCAGATTTGAAAAATCAATTTAAATCTGTTTTCAAACACTCCCTTAGTTTGAAGTCTGAATTGGCCCTTCAATTTATAAAAGGACAAAATTTGTTTTTTCACAAAGTTCAAAAGTTGTTAGAGCTAAAGATCCATTTATTAAAATTATTTAATATCCATAATACTAATTCAATTTGAATTCAAATATAAATGAATTGATTTGAGATCCACCTATACATATGATCTAGTTGAATCTATTTGCAGCCTTACCAAAAACCATCTAAATTAGAAGCAAATATGGGTCAGGCTTAGCTTAGCACTTTGTGATGATAAGTTCTAGGACTGTGACTTTTAGGTTTCATTTGTTTACAATGCAAATGCCGGTTCGATACACAATTCAATATATGCACTTTGGTTCAATTTTGCAAGCATCGGATAAAAATATATTTAATGAGAGCAAAGTATTACAACAAAAAACCATTCCAGAGAGTACAAAATGTATCAATATTAAACTAAACCAACTCTGCATTTTCATGAACCAACATATTTATATTTGTATACTTCTTAATATACTTTTGTTTACACTACAAACAAACACAGCCTTAATATGAGTATACTTATTCATATAAATTATATTTTATATTATATGTCATATAATATATGTATTATATGGACTTATGTCTAAACAAAGATCGTAGGCCCAAGCCTAAAAATTCCTGGCCGGGCTAAAAATGTGATCACCAGTTAATTCTAAACTAACCAGTTCTGAGTCTTCTGAGTTCTATATTCTCCGGTTTTGTGTTGGCGTTGTATACATTTGGTTTTGTTTATGTTTTTTCATTCAATATTTATATTTTATTAATTTGTAAAATCGAGAAAGATAATAATTACAATTACTGGCGCCACATTAGCTTAACATGAAAACTTTAAAAAATAACTTTATGCACAAAAACTGAAGACCAAAAGAGGAGAACTGCCGAAGTGGCGCCTACGTGGCAGGGTTTATTGAATAAACGCCACGGAACCAAACACCCTGTAAAATATATACATGACAGACCCGATAAACACATGACATTTTCACAGAAAGCCCTGATTAAACCCTAGCGAGTAGAAGGAACTCACTTGGCTTCAGACTTTCAGCAGGCTAAGCTTCCACTGAGAGAGAAGATGGCACCTCGGCGATTTGTGACCCATATTTACAGAAATGCCGTCCTCTTGTCCTCGTCCCGACCTCAGCTTCATTGCCGTTTTTCACTCTCACAGACCCGTTCCATCTTCTCCACGTCCCAACTGGATGGATCTTGGATGGACAAGATCAAAGGGGTTTTCACCGGCCAGAAGACCACACCTGAATCTCAGGTCACCTCCGAATCCTTCACTCTCCTTAGTAAGTGCTCAATCGTCCCCTTGGCAATTAAGTTCTGCTAACTTAGCAATTCTGGAAAAAGAAATTCTCTTGAATTTGTTCAAGCCCTTCATTTGATTGAAATATGTGATTTTAAAAGGAAAAAAAAAACATAATATTGGTTAACATTCGTTCGTTTTTGGTTTGAATTATGAGTTTTAAGGGTTCGCCGATGAGCTGAAGACTGCGAGAAAAGCAGGGTCGTTCAAGAATTTTATAGTGGGTCGAAGCAGCGAAGCAACATTTGCTGATTCATTTGAGAAGCAGGAAGCCATTATTCGATATCTCGGAGGGTTTGATCCTACAGGAGAGGTTAGTCCTATCTCATCCTGTGTTCTAAGAAGTTTTTATCTACTCCAGAAATTGAGTTGCTGTAAGATAGTAAAACGTATCGGATGAGGTTAGCGAGCTATTCTTCGTTTGCTACTCATCGATTAGTTGCTGTGTTGACGTGTTGTTGAAATTGAAATACCACTATTGTGGGTATTACAATTTATCCGTCGTCCTTCCTTTTAATCAATACAAACGGAAGTTTAGAGGACCCACCATACCAGAGAAGTGAAATTAGTGTTTTTGTGATTGGATGGGCTTGACACATTCTGCGTTTGCCATAAACGGGAACAGCTACGTGCAATTAAAGATAAGTCTTTTGATCTGATTGAAGAGGATGAAAATAGAGGATAAAGGCTGGAGATCATTGAGAGGAAGTAAGGATGTCGGAAAGCTCTTTTCTTTTGGTTCTGAATCTGCTGCACTTATGCTGCTCTGGATAAGTGCAGCAAATCCCGATTCATGAAGTAATCCACTTATCCCTCAGTAAGTTTAAGGTATTGGGGGTAATAAATGGTGTGTGAGTGTAGAGTGCCTGTAATCAAAGATAAGTCTTTTGATCTGATTGAAGAAGACAAAAATAGAGTATACAGGAAGGAAATCATTGATAGCAACTGAGGGTTTACAGAATATGCTTTTCCTTTGGGGGATCTCTGTTGTATGAGAGGTAAGGAATTTAAGGCTGTTTCTATAGCTTAATACAGTACCTGCCCAGACCTCTCTCCATCTTGGACGATGTTGCTTTTTTCACAGCTATGGTAGAATTGTTTTAAGACATAACAATGTCCTTTACAGAGAATTGGAAGGAAGGCAACGGTTCTTATTTACAAGCTAAGGTTTTCCAAAGCGAGTAGGTTAACACTCTGAACGTGGGTATATCAATCATAAAAGGGGGGAATGAGACTTTGATACCGGATAGAAGTGTCACATGATGTATATTTTAGGTGGGTTGGGGTAGGGATCCCAATTGAGTTGGTCCTTCCCTTTTCTCCATCTTGCCTGTAATTAAAGCCTTCATATATGCTTGCATGCGTACACACCAAAAAAATTAAAAGATTCATATTTAGTCTGGAGTTACTTGATAGTTTGATCTTTGACTCTGGATTATGTCTTCACAGCAAAGAGTGCATAGATTATTCAGTAATTATGATTAATGATCATATTATTATATCAAACTGTTATCATTTGGTTGGGCTACAAATCTGATGAAGGTCTCATTTCTTGATTAATTGCTTCTAGAATCTCCAAAGCAGTCAGAAGCAAGAGGCAGCCAAGCATTGTAATTGCACAATTGCTGAGGTTGAGAGTGCATTGGCAAAGTTTACATGGGCAAAGGAAGCACAGAAAAAGATAGAAAAGCTAAAGGCAGAAGGAAAACCAATGCCAAAGAGCTTGGCCGAGGTATTACTTCCTGTTCTAGTTTGTTTTTTATTTCATTACTCACCAACAAAAAAAATCATTAAAAAAAATAAAAGAGAAGTTCCTTACTTTCCACAATGAGCTTATACAGTCTCTAAGTTTGTGGATAGTCTGATTATTTTATATAGATGATAGTTACTGTCCTTGAAAAGAATAAACCATGCAGTGCCATTGCTGTGACAAAAAGCCTTGCATGGATGGGTCCCACCAAGGAAATCTTTCTAATTTAAAAATTTGACACATACAACCTGGTGAGATACCGCTCACCTCGGAAGCCCCTTCGAGGGTGGCTTAACCTCCTGAAACAGAAAGTGGAGAGGAAGAAGAGAAGGGAAGGTAGGAAAAGAGGGATTCAGTGAGAGAGAAACAGGGGATATTCATTTCTTCTTTTCATTGTAAGAGTATGGCCTTATATAGCTGGCCTACAGGTGTAATCATAGAGGGAATATCCTCTGATTGGCAGGATAACTAACTCTGGGAAATATCATGGAGGGAATATCTTCTGTCGGCAGAATCACCCTCTCTGTGTGTAACTAATTCTGAGGCTCTGTCGCCTGTCCCTGAGGCTCTGTCACCTGTCCTTTCTGCCTCCTTGAGTACTGCTGATGGGTAGTGGCCTGCTCCACTCCCTTTGTTGGGTTCGGGGAAGGTATTTGGGTCCCAACACAACCATACCTGTTCTATGTATGTCAACTGGATATTCTACCTCCTTTTGCAGTTTAAGGATACAATTATCATCATTTGAACATGGTGCTTGCTGGTCTGGGGGGTACATTAGGAGATTTGAGACATACTATTGATGGATGGTGAAAATAGCATGTACTAGATCCGTTTTACTTTCTATTTGACTATTGATCAATAGATTCTAAGTACTACCTATATGACTAAATGGTTTATATCTACCCTGTTTATATTTTAAACAATATGATGAACTAGAGGGTGTTTTACAACATGAATGCTTTTGTTTTCGTTTGTTTTTTAAATTGCGATGTCAGCAAAAAAATTGAAACACGTTCTTGAACAGTGTTTCTGTTTTCAGAAGCAAAAAACAAGTTGGTTTTGTTTCAACAAAACAATTCATGTTTTTGAAGCCATCAAAATAGTGATTTTTAGAACAAAAACAAAATTTGGAGTGCAGATATTATATGGTTTATGAAAAATGATATCAAATTGCCAGATGAAAACATGTTCTTTAAACGAAATTCAAGAATACGTTTTTGGTTTCATTTTTGGAAACAGAAAGAACATATACAATCAAGAACGTGTTTTCTGTTTTTTGATTTTTTGTTTAAGAGCCAATTTGTTTTCAAGCTAGATGGTTTCAATTTGTTTTTGGAACTCACAAGAAAAAAAAAAAACAATTCACATTGACAACCCACCTTACTTGGGCCCTATTTGTTCGTTCAAAGGCTTTACTTGGGCCCAATTTGTTTCAGCTTTCTTGTTTTCCTTAAATATTTAATAGTATATCCAGCTAAATACATGTATGCATGCATGCCCAAGATCCCAGTTTGTTAGGACCAGCATTGCATAAAAGGATTTTACTTAACAAAGAGTGCCTCTCCCTCTGAAATTATCTATAACAATAGACAAAACTAGGAGGGACATTACAATTTCTTTTGGTTGTCTTATCAGAGTTTTATCTATTAGGCAAGAAGTCTGGAGCCATATTAGCTTTCGCTGTAGGTCGGAGAGATACTTTACATAGATATTTTTTTCTCAGATATGGATCATATGTACTGAGGATGAGAGTCCTCTCCCAGTCAGGTTGTTTGTTACAGTGCTTACCCACCCAAATAACCCTATAATCCAACTTGGCTAGAAATACTAATACCTTCATTAGCATCCATACATTCTGTAGTATAATGAACACTGATCTTACATGCCTTTGGCAGTAGCTCTTATTCTCTTAATGCTTTCCCTGATCTTACCTTTCTTCTTGGTGGATATCTAAGCACATGTTTCTTGTCATGTGAATAATGGTATAGATGTGTGAGCTAATCTCATCAATCACAACTGTGGTTTTTGAATGGGTTCAAATGGATTTGGCTTTTGAGCTTCAAATATAGCATCTATAGCTGACTTAGGATTCTAGTAATCTACTTTAAGCCAATGAGTGTACTCTTAGCTTGCTAGTTGTAAGTATGGTGAAAACTTTATTTGACCTGGAGATGAACTTTTTTGCTTAGTTTCTGGACATTCATCTCAAGCAAATAAAGTTGCCGAAAACATGCTACATTATATTTAAAATTTAACTATATCTGTTGGTTATTTTTCTCTCAAAATCCTTTCTTATAATGACAGAACTGTGAGAGAGTGTGAGTTCATTCTTAACATGTTTGAAATATCATGTACTATAGGTGCAAAAGCTGATGGGATCAACACCATTGGATCTTGCCAGGTCTAATTTGGCAAAGAGTGGGCAAATAAGTAGGAATGCACTCTGCCCTTGTGGTTCTAAGAAGAGATACAAAAGGTACTGTTGCCTTGCTAACTTCTAGATCTAGTTTCTTTATATTCTCTACTCAGAAGTATGAATTACATGTGAAAGGGGATCTAATTAGATTACATAAGGACAGCATACCAGTATGAATGACATGTGAAAAAAAAATGAGTTTCAAATTTGGCACATGCTCTGCTATTTAGGTTGTCTTCATCTACTTGCAAGGATTTTCAAGAATCAAAGCAGCTCCACAGATACAGTATTTCAAAAAAAAAATATTGGGAAAAATGGTTTCTGGCTTGCTATAAACAATTTGTTTGAAGATAGAATTTACAGATCTCTCTCTCTCTCTCTCTCTCTCTCTCTCTCTTGTGTGTGTGTGTGCGTGCGTATGGTAATCCTTTTGTGAAGCAGAGTTTGGGGGATATAGGGCTCCATGGGCAGTTTTTTTGTAAAATCTGTGTACAGCAACTTGTACTTTTTTTTTGGTTTTTATCAATGATACTGTACTTTATCTTCTCTCTCAAAAACAAATTACAATTATCCTTTAATGTTCCCCTTTATCATGTGTGCTTATCTTCCTGACCTTTATGCTTACTGGGAGTTACCAACAAAAGCTATTAGTGATGTTTCTGGGCCTGCAAATTTTGAACATATGGTTCTTTTAGCTGTTGGTTACCTTAAGCCTAAATCAGTATTTGTTGGTCCAAGGGTCAAGTTATTTTCCTCGGATCAATTTGTGTCATATTATACTTCTGATTGTCCTAACCATACCATCCTTTTCAAGGTGAGAGATGTGTACAATATATAGATAGACACATGGTAATATGGCTCTGTATTCGAGTCAACAGTAGGCACTGTTCCATGGTGTCCTATCTGCCGCTTGGGACCTATATCAACTTGCCAGTCGAAGATTGCTTGAAACTAACCATTGTTTCCTGCCACAACACCTGGCCATATTCGAGAGAGAGAGAGAGAGAGAGAGAGTCTGTAGATACAAGAATAGTGTTTACCTATTAGTCCTAGGTACAGTCTTCTCCCTAAATAATGTTCAGTTGGAAGTAGGATCTCGGGATGCTGCAAACTTTTGCCTTAAACAATTCTAAACTCTTTTATGACTTTTTCAGCCTATTTGGTTCTGGTGATGAAATCCATTGTTTTTCTTAGTTTTTTGCATTCTCTCTTTAACAGTTGAATATTTTCTTCAAGCAACTGCTACCAAATTCTTTTTTTTTTAGTCTCATAGAATGATGTTATTTAAACCTTAAACATGAAAAAGAGGAAAGAATGAAAAAAGAAAAATGAGGAGGAAAAAAAGAAAGAAAGGCACCTTTCTTGAAGTTACTGTAACTGATTAAAGGACAACTTGCCTTGTATGATATGATAGCTAAAAATAATTTATAATAGCTTGTTGGTGTTTGGTTGTGTTCTATCCACAATTTTTCATTAACGACTGACTTAGATTCCCCCTTTTGGATTTGTAGGTGCTGTGGGAAGGATTCAAGTTGAACATAATTTGCTGATTTAAAAGACATTCTATTTGGGCTAATGGTCTCTCTAACAATTTGCTATGAGAACGATTGAAGATATTCTTGGAAGCACTATCAGTGGGAAGAAAAATAAAAGAGATGGATTGCAACAATTAGGTTCCATTCCATGTGAAAGAACCAGATGGTCTCTCTTGTAGTCCTAGTGGGACTGCCCAGCATGACGGCGCCTGCGCTGGGAAAAGAAAAGAGACCAAAGAAGGGTAGTAGAGCTTGCCATTTCTCTTATATTCAAACTACTGTTAAAGAAAAGCATCAAGAGGATGTTTCTTTTTGGCATCTCAGTTTTGATTAAAAATGTTTCTGAAAGCTGACTTCAATTTTCATAGATAGCTGATTGATAGACATCTTCAATATGGCCGCATAATGATGAAACAAAATGCTTTACTGTTTCTGTAATATTATGGTTCCTGTAATGAGATCCAGTGTCCTGCAAAGTGGGGAAGTGAGATCAGAAGCGCCCGTCTTGTAAGTTATATACACCACAGTAATCAATACAAGAACGAATGGTTGTCATCTCTCTGATTGATAAATCTCAACCCAAAGCCCCATCTTATCAGCTTGCCTTCATGGTCACCAGATGAGCTGTTTTCTTTGGACGATCTTGGGTGGCTACAGCCTATAGGGTGGGTCGAAATGGTGTGGAGATGAGAAATGTGCCATTAAGACTTTCCCCTCTAATAGCAGCCTGACCATTGAGACCTTATGAATTCTAGGAATGAAACTGATTCGATCTGATCGGTTTACCTAGAAATGAAACTGAAATCGACCCAGTACTAAGTAAAACCGACTTGGTCGATTTGAATCGGTTTGGATCAGTTTTGTGAATGATTCTCTCGGTGTGAACGGTAAAGGAATCAAGTCTAAGAAAGCAAAGGCTGGATGCTTGGAAATTAAAAATGATTTGATGGATTAAAACTGATATATAATATATCTAAGTCTGTTCAGTTTCGGTTTTCACATCGGTTTATGTTTTTTGTAACCTGAAGCCGACTGGTGCTGAAGAAAAACCGGCCAACTCGGGTTGGTCAGTTTGGGTCTTGTTATGAACAGCCCTAGCTGGTAGATGATATTACAAGAAAGACCTTATGAACAGGGCATGTTATAGATCCTGCTACCAGTACAAGAGATGGATATACAGAGTTGTCTGTGTTTACCATGGAAGGGACCAATGGAACAACACTTTCTGTGTATTCTGTTCTTGGTCCAGCAAGAAAGTTTGTCCATCATTAATGTTGACCCTTCTTGCAGGAATTAGTTCACATGGCCAAAGAGGTCACAACCTGTTGCATATGCTCCATACCCTTGCACCCAGTTCCACAAGTATCTCAGAGAAGATAGTCGCATTACAGCTAGAGCAAGTGCACGTTCACTGAAGCAACAGACCCTCACTTAAAGTTTCTGTAAGCTAGGACAGCCTCTTGAGAACTCCAGAAGCCCATCATCTAATTCTCCCACATATCCCAGAAGCATGCACCTCACATTCTGGCTGTACTGCCCTATATAAGGGAGACCCACATCAGTCAAGCCCCTTGGTCGTAGATAAAGGGCAATAACCTCCTAAGCTTCTCACAACCCCTCAACAGAGCTCGGACCCCCCGTTGTCAAGTGGCAAGTCTGTTATCTTTTCTTCACTGTCAAGAAAAACTAATCGGAAATTACAGAGATTTTTTTTTTTGCAAAAAGTTCCAATAGATTCCAAAGAAGGATTGGTTATGTCAGATACATGGACAGCCAGGTAATTGCAGCTCAGTGCAGCCTTGTGCCAGAGAAGATAATCCTCCTTGTGAAACTAGGCCTTGTTCATCCTCCATTTCCTAATCATCTGCACCTCTCTCAATTCTCAATTCTAAGCCTCTTTAATTTTTTTTTTTTTTACAATTCTGAGCAACAACTTCTAGCCCTCTATCTCAAAGGTTTCTAAATTGGGGCATCGTTGAATCATTGCTCAGAGGTGTGCCCATCAAGAAGCTTGCTTGCCGACATGGACACGGAGGTTGTGGGCCTGCTGAACAATTGCTTTTGGGTTTGGTTTTCTGGTGTCAAGAATAAACCAATTTCCACTTGTGATTTGTCCTGCTCTCCTGCTACAGGCCTACAATTGAACTGAAGCAGACTCCAGCCAAAGTGGGTTTATATTTATTTATTTGTTCTTGAATTTAGGCGGTTTGTTGAAAGTTGAAACACATTAAATCCTTGTTTTTGTGAGTCTGACTACAACTTGGCCTGCCCAAATGAAGCCTGGTCAGACCCGATTCGAGCTTTGCATGGGTTAGGCTTGCCTTTGTCAGGCTTTGACGTGGGCTTGGGTTTGAAAATTTGAGCTTAATATAAGCTCAGGTTGAAATTTGGTTGAGGTCTCCAATGGCTAGAGCCCAATCAACCCTACCTAGCCTAACCTCAGCTTATCCAACTATTTATGATATAGGCAAGTTTTAAGTATCAACACTTATCTGTATCAGTGCACATATTATACATGTTGGTTTTTGAACCCACTGATGTATCCAATACACTGAATTAGGACATCCGCCACTTATGAAGTTTAATACCCTTTCTAAAGACAAATCGGATCCACGGCCCACTGAACAGTCATTGCGTTCAGCCAAACCTTGCTCGAGAGTTTAAGCGAATCTGTTATTTTGTGTCGGATTTCACTTGATCCTAATAAATTGGATCAAATCAGAAAAGCCAATTCATCTAGTTAACGGATCGAATTCGAATATACCCTAATCAGGTATGTCATGACCCAATCTGCTCTATTAGTTATGAAATACTATGTATTGTAGATTATTTATATATATTATATATGTATATTTTATATATAATTATATATTATATCTGATAGGATTCAAAGCGGATATCTGATAAGATATTTGAATTCGAATTTGAATCATAATCTTGGAAATCCGATGGATTCTTATTGGATTCAAATTGATTGGATTTCTCATCAAACCGTATCAGATATGCCTTGACTGAAGGTGCCACCTTGTAAAAAAAATGCCAAGGGCTAGAATTGTACCCGATCTACACCTCACAAGCCTTTTTTTTTTACTTCTCAATTGGCAGAGGTAGTGAGTTTAGGCTCTATTTATTTGCACTCTGCAGTCTGCACTAGTATAAAAGTATGACTACAAGTCAGAAGAGTGTAAATTTTGTTTCACTTTTGCATCCAGTTTTACCTTACATTTTTTTAGGTTTTATTTCACTTAAGTCACACACACGCCATAAACAAACAAAATTAATTAAGGCCAAGTTTGGAAGTGTTTATTCGAATAAGCACTTATCGGTGTTTGAAAAATAAGCCTGAAATAAATGCTTATAAGACCAAATTTGAGAGTACTTATTCGAATAAACACTTATCGGTTTTTGAAAAATAAGCCTGAAATAAATGTTTATTTTAAGAATAGGCGCTTATTGGAGAAGCCCAAAATTCGGGCTTATTTTTAAGTATTTATATGTTTTCTGGCTTGTCTTAGTCTGCCATGTCATTTTGAAAATGCTTATATTACCCGTACTTGAAATAAGTGCTTTTTCACAAAACGCTCATGAACAATGATTAGAATAAGCACTTATTTTTTAGTACTGATTGAATGAACTTATTTTTCAATTAAGCACTCGCAAAGTTGGCCTAAAACTTAAAATAAAAAATAGATCAAAATTTTAGTCAATAAATTTGTGCTTCCAGCCTCCCAATACTCTGGTCTGGCATCATTGCAGAGGAAACCGCATTACAAATAAACTAGGCTTTAGTGCCCGCCCATTGGTTCACACTTCCACATTTTCACCAAAGCTCAGAGTAGATAAGATCGAAGGTGCTATAGCTTTCTCTGCTGACCAAAATCAGTGGATGTGGTTCCCACCGACCATGGTTCATCAAGTCCAGAATAACCTTAACCAGAGAACCAGAGAGGTTGGAGCAACTAAAACAAATACTGTGGGGGAGGAATCATATATACAAAGTGTGTCATTTTCATGATTTCTGTGCTTAATATTTTGTTCCATATTCCACACCACTAATGCCAAAGAACGAATTTCTCTCTCTAGATCGATCAATCGATCTCTCTACTGAAAGAGAATAATGGTAGGATATATGGGAGGAGGAATATATAAGGAAATTAGATAGGTATAGAGTGAGCAGAAGCTCACCATCACCGACCCCATAATCTCTAACATGGGATGCCACGATCCGAGCCTGCATTGTCTTTGATGACATTGAAATCCATCCATGACCCACAGCACAAGAGAAGAAAAGAAAAGAGGTTGACATTCCTCCTCTCAGTCTCAGTCCCAGGATTAGTAAATCTTCCTCCACTTGTTTGTTCATGCATCGCAATCTACACACCAAACTGGCCTTTCAGCTTTTGCTTTGGCCGGTTCTTCTGTGATGATGATGTCATTCTCACCTGCTGCTTCTCTACCTTCTCTCTCGTTTCCATCTGCTTTACAGAATTTGCTTCACAGTCCTCTCTACGTGGCTTTCTCCTGTGCTCATAAAATCGCTCCATGAATATGATGAATCCTTCCTCCATAAATTAGACGATTTCGTTGGCAGTGAAAGTGATGAGAACCACACCGCACACGGCGGAGATGCTTTCGCGCGTCGTCACATGCCTGCTAATAAGATTCTATCTGGTGACGCAAAGTTCCAAAACAGAAATTAATTCAACCATGGAAATGGAATGAAGTCATGAACATCTCCATCTCGATCGCAATGTTTCTGAGAATTTTATTTTATTTTATGGGATAACGATTTTGCTCGGCTTTGGACGGTGTGATTCCATTTCCATCCATGAGACGTTGAGAGTTGAGACCTGCAGCCTCTCTCTCTCTCTCTCTCTGAAGTAGTAATCAGAAGTGGAAGGATATATACCATTCACAAAAGCCACGATGTAGGAACACGTGTCCTCTTTGAGCATGAATGCTGACGGGGTCAAATATGATATCTGACCATTGTTTATCAATGTCATTTTCATCATCTATACTTTGAAAATTACACTGGGTCATCATCACTCGTGTGACTCATTGAGTTGACTCAGAAATTTGCCAACCAACCTGGTCAAGACTCAAGAGATCAGTATATAGGGACGATATATATATATACTAATCAATTTGTTCTTGACATGAGTTGCCATAGCACTTGGGAAAGATGAGCATTTGGATGCTATTTTCCTATAATTTTAATATTTTCAAATGGTGTGGGAGAAAGACAATGAAAATAAAAAAAAAAGTAAAATTGTTGGGAAAAAAGCAGGAAAGCATTTGAGTAATTAAAAGAAAAGGTTGAGATTAAAATATTTTAAGAAAAGCATCTCACAAAATGGATAATTTATTCTCGTAAACTTTTTTGATATTCTCAAGTATATAAGAATCTAAAAACTAAAAACAAAAAACAAAAAACACTATTCCTAAAACAACAACTGG